CTAAAAAAAAAGATATTAAACACCATGACAACTATAAAACGTCAATTCTAAGATTCCCAAAATATCCTAAAATGCGGAATTAATTACAAAAAAAAGAAAAATAGGTTGCTTGATTATCGAATTTTTGCTTCTGAGCAGTTTTTTTCATTCACTTTCATATTCTTTCCTTATTTAATTCAAAATCTGCATAAAAAGGAAAAGGTTAACTAGATTCGACGATGTATTATCTCACACACAAAAAATTCTACACATATACATATATTTAATTTAAAAATAACTCATTTGTGCATTTTAATTGTTTCGCACATTTTATAAGAATTTCGTGAATTTTATTTTTTCTTTTTAATCCCCGTTCATCAGAATATAAACAAAATTCAAAAACATTCTCCACTTTTGTTATTCATTCAAAATACTCATTTCTACAAAAATTTTTCAAGAACATTTATTATTTATTTTAAAAAAAAAAATTTATTGTGAGTAAATTATTCATAACATTTTTTTTTTTTTTTGTTATTTACTTATCACATCAAGGAATACTTTAATAAATTCATTTATTTTTCGTTATAAAAAAAGAAATGCGATTTCAAACGTACGTTACGTAGAAAATGGAGTGAAAAAAATTATTTGTTGATTCAATTAAAATAAAATTACTAATTATTCATTTTTTTTTTTTTGTCTTTTTGTAAATGAATCAATTTTTTTCGTTTATTTACACACAGGAAAACTATAATTTTCAGTTAATATGATAAATGTAACAAGTACTTATATTTAACTTACTAAACAACTTTATCACAAAAAATAAAAATTATATTTTTCTTTCAGAAGCGAAAAAAATGAAAAATTATAATTATTCAATGCAGTCATTGAGTTAATTTTTTTTATCAGTAAAATTAATGACAAAAAATAATTTTTTTTTTCACAATGGAAGAAAAAATTTAATTACTTAATACCGTCATCGTAGCGTAATTTTCTTTATCAAAGAATAATTTTATTTTTTAAACTTTTTTTGACGTTGGTTCACAAATGAAGTATTATAATTACTATACTTATATATGATACATTAATTAAGAAAAAAGGATACTTTTAAAATTTAAGATTTTGAAGATACTTAATATTGAGTGCTTTAAAGGTTATAATATAATATATTTAAAAATGTGGTTTGAAATTCCACTTTTATAGATGTTTCTATATCCTTGGTTCATCGTTTTCAAGGAAACTTTATATGTGAATCAAGGATTAAAAATATTTAATTTAAATCTCTTCATATACCCAATTGCAAATTGGTGCATTCCTTATCAAAAAAATGTACTAAAAACAACTTTTAAAATACTTTTAATAATTTTTAAATTACTTCAAACTATTTTTATCAACAACATTTTTTTTCAACTCAAATTAATAATCTAATGATCATCAATTTCTTTGACTCAAAAAAAAACTTATTGCAAAAAAACTTATTACTTATATTAATGATATTAATAATAGAACGCATAACTTCAATTAATAGTCTAAAAGTAATTATGTGTAAAAGAAAATGAAGTATACTTTCTTAGTGGATACATATATGAGGATTATATCACTTTGTTGGCCTTGGCCTATAATTATTTTCTTATTCGCTGACATCTCTTTTTATTTTCTATATTCTATATTATATATCGATACGGGGGAAAAACCGAAAAAAGAAAAATTAAATAAAGTAATTATTCCGTATCATTTGCAATATGTGCACTAATTACAATTTGTATAATTTTAAATTGCAATTAAGAAAAAGAGAATGTTTACTATATTGGATATTATTATCCATAAATTAAAAAAATAATTTATGCGCATTTCTTCTGCGCCAACTTTTGCTGTTTAATAAAATTTACTTCGAATATAGTAAAGTTTACTCCAAATGTAGTAAGATTTGCTTCTAGTATAGTAAAATTTTGCTCCAAACGTAATCAAATTTACTTCGAATATAATAAAATTTACATCAAACGTAATAAGTTTAGTTCAAACATAATAAAATTTACTTTAAACGTACTCGAATTTATTTCAAGAATAGTCAAATTTACTTCGAACATAGTGAAGTTTACTCCAAACGTAGTGAGATTTGCTTCTAATATAGTAAAATTTACTCCAAAGGTAGTCAAATTTACTTCGAATATAATAAAATTTACATCAAACGTAATAAGTTTACTGCAAACATAATAAAATTTACTTTAAACGTAGTCGAATTTACTTCAATAATAGTCAAATTTACTCCAAACGTAGTCAAGTTTACTTCGAATATAATAAAGCTTACTCCAAATGTAGTAAGATTTGCTTCTAATATAGTAAAATTTACTCCAAAGGTAGTCAAATTTACTTTGAATATAATAAAATTTACATCAAACGTAATAAATTTACTTCAAACATAATAAAATTTACTTTAAACGTAGTCGAATTTACTTCAAGAATAGTCAAATTTACTTCGAACATAGTGAAGTTTACTCCAAACGTAGTGAGATTTGCTTCTAATATAGTAAAATTTACTCCAAAGGTAGTCAAATTTACTTCGAATATAATAAAATTTACATCAAACGTAATAAGTTTACTGCAAACATAATAAAATTTACTTTAAACGTAGTCAAGTTTACTTCGAATATAATAAAGCTTACTCCAAATGTAGTAAGATTTATTTTTCGAATATATCAAAATTTACATCAAACGTAGTTAAATTTACTTTTAAAATAGTAAAATTTACTTCAAATTCAGTCAAATCAACTTCGAATATAATAAAATTGATATCAAACGTTATAAGTTTACTTTAAACGTAGTAAAATTGATTTTAAAAAATAGTCAAATTCACTCCAAATGTAGTCAAATTTACTTCGAATCTAGTAAAATTTACTTCAAACTTAGTCAAATTTATTTCGAATACAATAACTTTTACAATTTACATAAACATACTGAATTAATATTAGTAATTTAACTCTAAAAAATTTTTTTAAATTTTTTTTTAGTCAGTTTTACTTTTATTATAAGTTATTTTTTATTATTTTTTTTAACTAAGTTATTAGTTAATTACACTGAAAAGTATTTATTTTTTGTATTCAAATAACCGATTACTTGTGCATTACCAAATAAATATTTACTTAAATTAAATAATTTTTATTCAAATTAAATAAATTGTATTTAATTTTTGGAGTTATTAATTCCAAAAAAATTTTTTTTTTAGTTTTATCAAATTATTTGGTGAGTTTTACTTTGTTTATAAGTTATTTATTATTTTTTATTATTTTTTAACTAAGTTATTAGTTAATTACACTGAAAAGAATTTATTTTTTTTTATTCAAATAAACCGATTACTTGTTCATTATCAAAAAAATATTTACCTAAATCAAATGATTTTTATTCAAATTAAATAAATTGTATTTGAATTAATAATTTCAGTATTTGAAGCAAATATGAATTGAACCATTTAATTAACGTAAATAAAAATTATTCGATTCATGTAAATATTTATTGGATAATATACAAGTAATCGTTTATTTAAATTAAATAAATTTTTTTCAGTGTATAATATTAACATTAATATAAATATAGATGATAATAATATTATAAGACAGTGAATGTAAAAAATTTAAACATATGCCCCAAAATTCCGATTATAAAATAAATTAATCAGGAATAAAATTTACTTATCTAGAAATATTACACTGAAAAAAAAATTTTTTTGATTCAAGTAACCGATTACTTGTCAATTATCTAATAAATATTTATTTGAATCAAGTATAATTTTTATTTAAGTCAATTAAATTGTATTTGAACCAATAATTACCAAATTGAAGTCCACAACGTTGATCAACGAAAAAAAATTGTTTACTTAGTAAATTAATTAAAAATACGCAGAAATATTATCACAAAAATATTTAGAAAAAAAAGATTGATGTTTATATTTTGATAATAATTATTTTACAATTAAATATTAAATTAAAAATAATACTTGAATGTATTAAATTAATTTTTTTCGTTGATAAACGTTGTGGACTTCAACTTCGTTAATTTCAGTATTTGAAGCAAATATCATTTCAATGTATCATTTCGATACATTGAAGCCCATGAGCTTATCGAGATTTATTTAAGATATTTAATTTATTTGTGTATATTGATTCGGGAAAATTGTTAACTTCTTCAAATTTAATATTTAATCACCGAATGATAAATTCACTTCCTTCAAATATCATTTAGTTGATTAAAATAAAAATTATTTAATTCGAGTAAATATTTAATTACAAGTAATGAGTAATTTATACAAGTAATACAAGTAATCCGTTATTTGAATTAAATAATTTTTTTTTTCAGTGTACTTTATGCCGATTATGAGAAACAATTCTTCAAGCCCTCTGTCGGACAGTTAAAAACTTCTATTGGCGCGAAATTCAAAATCCAATAAGAAAAGAAACAGTAAAAATTAATTTATGTCCAATATTGAAATCATCATACACTAGAAAAAAAATTAGGAACAGTGGAATTTTTTAGAATATTTATATAGCTAATTGGAAGCTAATTTTGAATAAGAAAAAAAAATGAAATATTTTCGCAAGGTTATAGAAAATTTAAAAATGAGAAATTCCTCTTTTTTTTGGAGGTCCCAGCCCAGAAAATCTTGATAACTCCCTAGATGAAGAAAAAAATAAAATTAGCGACATTTTCCTCTCGTTTTCGACGCTAACTTCAGGGACATCTTTCGATTAAATTACATTCCTTGTTTGAAATTTTAATTATCAAAAATTGAAGAAAAAAAAAATATCCAAGAAAAATTACTCATAAAAAGAGAAAAACTGAAAACTACAATGATTCGAAAAGAATCAGCATCTTCGAGGACAATGTTGATGATAATGATGATGAAGATGATGATAATGAAGAAGAAGAAGAAGAAGAAGAAGAAGAACAAGAAGTAACAAAGTGGGATTCAGTAGCAGCTTTTAACCTGGAGGGGTGACGATACCAACATGGCGAGTTGCTTAAAAGCAATGCTCCGACCTACCGGGCACCAGTCGGTAGTCACGAAGTAGACAATAAAGGCACGACGGTGGCCTATAATCAATAACAATCACTATTTTTTTACTCATCAAATATTTTTCTTTTCCATTCTCGTGTTTTTTTACCCCGCAAAAAAAAAATTTCCTCTCTACCCCCTTAAAAATCAAAAAAAATTTCGCAGACCGTCGTTCTTTCTTTGTCGTGCGCGTGCCTCTCACTCTCTGTTCTCTCTTTATTTTTCTTCCCCGTTAACACCTCGTGATTCTAGCCATTCACTCTCACTGTTCTCCAGCTCTTCCTCAATTGGTGACAAAATACTTCGGACGTTATCTTTCATAGCACATCTCGAGTGCTAAAATTAGTTCTATTTTTTTTGCTCTCTATTAAAAAAAAAGAAGAAGAAGAAGAGGATCAAAAAAAGATCCATGTGATTATAAAACCAGGAATTTAAGAGGGAGGAACAGATGAAAGCGAAATAGGTGTTAAAGGGAAAATAGAAGAATCCAAAAAAAGCAGAGGATACATTTCTACAAGTGTTGTGTTGTGGATATTAGTGTTTAATTATCCGTGGTAAGTGAAAATAAAAAAAAAAATAATTTAGAAAAAATTGTTTCGTGAGTGTAGTTTCGCTACTGAAGAAGCTCCTCTATTATTTAATGTCAAAACAACCCGAGAATTGCATGTTCTATCAGATAGGGTAGAGAAACACTACTATCAATATTATCGGCTTTTAAATTGGTCGTTCTATCGAAACCAATTTTTATTTATAGATTTGCTCAATATAGCAAGAAAATGTTCAGTATCAATATTAAATTGCAATAAATTAGCAAACAATTAGCAATAAATACCAAACAATTAGTAATAAATACCAAACAGTTAACAGTAAATACCAAACAGTTAGCAATAAATACCAAACAGTTAGTAATAAATACCAAACAATTAGCAATAAATACCAAACAATTAACAATAAATACCAAACAATTAGCAATAAATACTAAACAGCAATAAAATAGCAACAAAAAAGGGAACCTGACTAAAAAGATTTAGCGCAAATACTGAAAGTGGTTAACAGAACTAACTTGTTTACCACAAAACTCAAACCAATTTACAAAATTCTTTATCAAAACAAAAAATAATTTAATTTTTCAAAATTCCTGCAATAAATTCATTTTCTTTTTTCCTCGAAAATTGTTGAAATTTCCAAATGTTATCTATACAGTTCGATATGGTATCCATTTCACAATGGACATATTCATTAACTAAAGTAATTAGTGGCATCGAAAGTAATTTGAAACGTTTGATGATAAATAGCGCACATACACTAATAAAGTGGGGTGCATTTTTTTTTCTTTCTAAATTTTTATGGATCTGAACTATTTACTGCATTCGTTGGGTATATAGGATTAATTGGCCAAGTGACTCGTGAGGCGAGAATGCAGGAGAATGGTGAGGTAACCATTTTCAATCTATAGTAAAAGAGGTGTTCTGCAACTTTACGCAAACCTCCTAAGTCAACTCTTGTTGACAGTGTGTTTATCTTTTTAGGCGTGTAATATATATATATATTTTTTTTTTATTTTTATAAAGAGAATCGCGAACCGCAATTATAATAATACACAGAAATCTATTGAGTAATTTCACCGTTCCGATTATAATCAAAAAAACCCCCCTTTATAATTTGAAAAATTGAAGATCGAATTAAATGCACGTGGTTAAATTTAATGCATTATTTCTCAACACATCGCGCGTGAAATTGAAGAGAAAATTAAACAACAAACAAGTAATGTTTAATGTTATAAAATCGTACATTCTTTTTTCCTTTTCTTACACTTTATTAAATCAATTAGTAAATATTATCAATTAGTAAATAAATTAATAATAATGCGAAATAATTAGTACGAAATTTATTAAAGTTATTGCAACATATCGTAATCTGATATAAACATATTACTTTATTTTTAATTGCAACATATTTACATTTTTTGGGTTCTTAATTATAATTAACAGATTCTACACTAAAACTCAATTTACAATTACCACTATTATTTATAGTTAACTAAATTCAATCGGAAAATTAAATAAAATTATTTGAAACAGTATAGTATTGTAACACAAATCAAAATTCTGTATAAACTTTTCTTTAATTTTTTTTTTTTTTTTTTTTGCTTCGTCAAGACTGAACATTTTCACTTTATTAATTCCATTAATTCTCAAAAAAATTAAATTTGAAACAATTTTGAAAAATAACAAGAAAATTTTTCAAGTAGAAATTTATCGTACAATATGCTGAAACATTGTGTGTATATGGAAGGAAATTCCGCGGATAGTATTTTACATTTATCACCACTTTTTTAATCGTTACACACGATTCTGTATAAAACGTGTTTTCCAGCAATATATTTCCGCTAATAATTGCGTTACAAAAAAAAAGACTATTAAAATTTGCCAATACTAACCTCAATGTTAAGAGGTACTTGTGACGCGGTATGTGTATACACACAACTTGTAAGGTACCTTTAAGCACGTTTTCTTATTAAAGGTATAAATATTTCCCAATGGCAAATTAAAAGGAAAACATCACTTTAAATCAATTTTTTTTTTGTAAATCTTGTTATAAATGCAATACTAATAAAGTCTTTGATTTTTAAATTTTGTAATTGGACAATAAAAATTCTTTAATTAGAAGAGAATTATTTTTGAGTATGAAGGGAATTAATAGAGTCAATGTTTTTTTTTTACCAAAGCCAAAATTTATTTGAATTTAATAAAAGTATATATTTGTCTCAGAACATGCTGATCTATTTATTTAGTTTAAATAACAAACTTCTCTGTTTCAAATAAAACATTTATTTAAAAAAATTTGTTTCTAATAAAACATTTATTTTGTTTAAATAAAAAATGTGTTTCAAATAAAACATTTATTTTGTTTAAATAAAAAATTTGTTTCAATAGAAACATTTATTTTGTTTAAATAAAAAATTTGTTTTAAATAGAACATTAATTTGTTTAAATGAAAAAAATTTGTTTCAAATGAAGCATTCATTTATTTAAATAGAAAATTTGTTAAAAATAAAACATTCATTTATTTAATTAGAAAATTTGTTTAAAATAAAAAATATATTTGTGACCTTTCGCGAAGAATGAAACCTAAAAAAGTAAAATTTGTTTCAAATAAAACATTTATTTGTTTAAATAAAAAATTTGTTCAAATAAAACATTTATTTTGTTTAAATAAAAAATTTGTTTAAAAAAAAACATATTTTGTTTAAATAAAAAATTTGTTTTAAATAAAACATTAATTTGTTAAAATGAAAAAAAATTGTTTCAAATAAAGCATTCATTTATTTAAATAGAAAATTTGTTTAAAATAAAACATTCATTTATTTAAATAGAAAATTTGTTTAAAATAAAACAATCATTTATTTAATTAGAAAATTTGTATAAAATAAAAACATATTTGTGACCTTTCGCGAAGAAAGAAACCTAAAAAAGTAAAATTTCTTTCAAATAAAACATTTATTTGTTTAAATAAAAAATTTGTTAAAATAAAACATTTATTTTGTTTAAATAAAACATTTGTTTAAAAAAACATATTTTGTTTAAATAAAAAATTTGTTTTAAATAAAACATTAATTTGTTAAAATGAAAAAAAATTGTTTCAAATAAAGCATTCATTTATTTAAATAGAAAATTTGTTTAAAATAAAACATTCATTTATTTAAATAGAAAATTTGTTTAAAATAAAACATTCATTTATTTAATTAGAAAATTTGTATAAAATAAAAACATATTTGTGACCTTTCGCGAAGAAAGAAACCTAAAAAAGTAAAATTTATTTCAAATAAAACATTTATTTGTTTAAATAAAAAAAGTTCTTTAAAATAAAAAATTTATTTGTGACCATTCGCGAAGAAACAGCTAAAAAAGCTCCAAAAAAATTCATAACTATTCTCTAAATACCTTTAGTTTAACCTAAAATTTTTTCCAAATAATATTACATGAGCACTATAAAAAATGAATAACGAGCTATCAGAATATTTAATATTTATTATTATTCACATAGAAAAGAAAATCAAATAGGGAAATAAAGCGCATTCAGAATAAAATGATATTGAAATAAAAAAAAGTATTTGTAAAGAATAATTGATGAAAAAAGAAGAAAAAAGCACGATTATTGATAATTAAGGAAAAATAGTTTTTTTGTATTAAACTTCTTTGTATATATTAATCATTTTTAAATTTTTTTTTCTATTTCATTTATTTACTTTTTTAATTTTATTTTTACTTACTATTTATTTTAATTTTTTTATTTGCATATTTTTATTTATTTTTGTTTCAATTTGATTAATTTTTGTTTCATTTTTATTAATATTTGTTTTATTTTTCTTTATTTGTTTTTCTTTTCACATATTTTTGTTTATAACAAAGTTATTTTCACTTCGCATTTAAAAATTAATAATAAAATGTTTCTATATTTAAGAAGACAGATATAAACCAACAAAATAAACTATTCTGAAGCAATGCTAATTTTTATTTCTCGAACATTTTTATTTATTCTTAAAACCACATGATTACGGAAATTCTAATTTTACTTGTGGTTTTACTGTTAAAAAAAATGACAATTGAAATATAGACGTTCAAAATTACTTTTACGTGAGATCGCGTTTATGAAAGAGACAAAATAATTTTTGTCATCCCCACTTATAAGAGAACACATAATACATTACCGCATCAAATAACTATATTATTTTTTCTTCTATTTATACTCCTCAATATATATTAAGTAATACAATTACAGAGGGGTGAAAAAACCTCAAATTTTGATAAAAATTGTAATAATAGAATATGGAAATTTAATATCATTTTTATATATTACGAATAGAAGAAAAATCCCTCTGTCTTTTTATTACATATTATATTTTTAATAATTACAATTTGGATATTATCCTAATATTGTCAGGGAAATTTAAATATGAAAAAATGTTGACAAACACAAATGGAAGTTTGGTACTAATTTTTCGTTTAAAATTTTATGAATGAAGAAGAGAAGAAGAAGAAGAAGAATATAAAATAAAATAAAAATAAAGTATCATTGAAGCTGTATTCGTTGAGAGCAAACGTAAAGTCGGTCGACACCCGAGGCACGCGCCTTCCGTCAACAAAACGACCTCCATTCCTCGTTAACACGCTTACTTTTCATTGTCGTTTGAACGTCTTGCATACAAGATCAAGACTACTGGTCATCATATGAACCTTCGCGAAAAGTGATTTTTATTTAATTGACGGAAATTGCTTTCTCGCGACTCGAGTGCATTTTTTTTTTTTTTTTTTTTTTTTTTTTTTTTTGCATATAACCAATGATCATAACCGTTTTTCTTTTAACTTCATATATATGATAGAATAGAAAAGTGCTGTATACTGAATCACGAACTAATTCAATATCGATGCAAATATAGGAGGCGTGATATGTTTACTTTTGTCGTATGAGGAAGCTTGCGCCAATAAGAATTTTCAATCTACATTATTAAGAGGAAAAAGAAATTTATTTTCCTGTTTCTATTTTCTATTAA